ATATAAGGCAATAGTGTTGGCGCTAAAACTAAAGCTAACAAGCTAAACTGAGGTCTTCCATCCATATTTTCAGTTCCAGGCTGAGTCATTTCTACCTTCTCCTCTCTGTCAACGCTCTCTGGTTTCATTTAAAAGAGTCGATCATCAGATATTGTCCAAGATTAACCTTCAGGGTGGATATAGCTCACTAGCAGCCTCGCATTGATGACCTATCCATGTCATCATTTACCCAGAATGCTTTGTGTGTAAATAAAATGGCTCCGTCTGTGTTAAAATGTGTATTTTAAAATTAAAAAAACTAAACAGCCTACAGGATTTTTACAGCCTTAATTTTGTTGTTAAAATATATGTTTATCATATAAAGTCTAATGTTACAGATAATCTGGGATCCTTCAAAGCTCATTTCTGAAACAAAGACGTCAAAGAGTTCCTGAACCTTGAAAATGAAAATGTGGCACCATTCAGCAGCACTCAGACTATACATATACGTACAGGTGATAACTCGCAACTGTTAGAATATAGGACAACAAAGATAAAAACAATTTAAAAAACTGGTTTGACAGTAATATGTTACCATTAAATTTGAGCATGACAAAAAATCTTTCCATCCCTTTTCAAAGATTTTAATTAATTTAGTTATCTTATCATGTTTTATGTTTTTTTTTACATGTTTAAAATAAACCTGAACTAACATTGTGACGACGCCATCATAAAAAGACCACGTTGTCCCCAAATGAAAATTCAGTTTTCATTTTATTTATGTGGTGCCTAAATTCTGTTTCAGTACTTTGTTTTACTTTGTGGCACCTTGGTGTTGGAAAAGATTGAAAATCTCTAATAAGGTTTTGCCAACACCCATTAATTCATGTTTTCTGTCTTGTTGGGTTTTAACACTCTCTCCAGTAAAGGATATAAATAGTGCTAAGTACAATTTGCCACTAAACATTAACTTGATATTGAGCACCCACTCCAGAATGTCTGTTCTTCACTGAAATGTGTTTTCCTGCCTCAACTYGTGATATTTTTCTGAAAGCACCACAGCTATAAATAAGAAGCCTGTATATSAACAGCTTTGGACCAAACTGCACGGTGACAGTCGTGAGATGAGTGAGTGACGAGAGGGAAGGGAGGGGAGGCAGAGGAAAATGTGAGAGAGGGAGAGAGAGAGAGAGAGAGAGAGAGAGAGAGAGAGAGAGAGAGAGAGAGAGGCTCCACAGTTGCCCTTAGCAGCGCAGCCTCATTCCTCTACAGTCAGGCTTCAGGAGCTCGTCTTCTTCCCGCTCATTTTTTTCCTCGAGTCAACATGTGTTGCTGTTTTCTGTTTTCTTACATCTAAGAAGTGTGAAACTCCCCGTTTGGGTTTTCTCCAAGTKTTTTTTCCTTACCTACTACACCTTTTGCTGCAGGGGGTTATGAAGAAAAAGGTGTCAGCTGCAAGTTGAGTTCTGCGTTTGAGACGGCCTTGGCAGGTGGGGTAACTGGTCCCGCTCAGGAAGGGGAGGTGGGGGAGAAGGATGTCTCTGCAGGCGGGAAACGAGAGCACTGCAGGAGTGTCGGAGCAGGGCAACCACAGCCTGGAAGTTGTTGACTATAATGTGAGCTGCACCAACAGCTCCGTCCTTCCCAGACCAGTTGCCAGAGCCCGCGGTAAGACCTTCTTTGTCTTCTTCTTCATCTTCAACATGTGTTCCGAGCAATGGCTTCAAAACSCATTCAGGTGGCACCTTAAGGCAACATTAACCCTCAAACAAATCTGTTCTGAATAAATATTGTCATACATTTATTAGAAATTATGAAATGTTACCACAGACAATGAATGGTAGAGACAGACTTATCAGATTTACTTGCTTCACCTTGCTGGGTCGTTGGAGTATGTCCCCAACAGTGATCAGGACAAGTCTAAAGTCCATCACAGGGACACGAAAAGACAAAGGAGACAATCATCCATCCTCCATCTAGGGACAATTTAGATCACCAGTGAGCCTACAACCAATGTTTTTAATCTGTGGAAGGAAACCAGAGTACTTAAACCCATACATGTAAGAGAAGAACATGAAAACCCCACCCAGAAAGACCCCAGGTCTGTATGCAGTCCTGTGACTTACATATTGGGAAGCAGCAGCTCCAACCATTGCACAGCCGGGTCAATCAGACAATGTTAGGTAATTTTTTTAAAATCTGCTGTGCCTCAACCAGTTACCAATAGGAAACCATCTCCACAACTTAGGGTTTCTAAGCAAGAATGTTGCTATATATATATATA